GAATGCTGGGACACCAAATCCTAGTGGATAAGTTGAGGAAGAATGACCATGCTGCAGTGTTTTAAAGTACAGTGACTTCCAAGGTATAAGCTCTAAATGTCTAGTGTTGTGAATCTAATAACTCAATCAGCTGAATTTTTCTTAAAATCTCCTTTAAAAGAAGCTTTCCAGCTCAACTCTGAAGTAAAAATAAATAAATAAGCATTGATTAACTCTGAGAAAGATTCACTAAGTTAACTCCTCCAGTCTTTTCCTCTTCTATACACATTTTTGGGAAGTGATTAAATTTTTCAAATAAAGGGAGAGGAGAATCCTGATTCTGTTCCCCCTCCAACCTCTCTCCAGGCACCTCTGCAAAACTACTGTATTTACAGGGCTTTGAGGTGAAAGACTTCCCTGTGGTCAGAACCAGCACATGGCCTATGCCCATCTTAAGCACTATAGACTTAGTAGATTTCAATATAACGTGAGTCATTCATGAATGATGTGTTCTCAACAGAGGACTGCATTTTCAGCTTTGACTATTTATGCAGAGAAGTCAGGTACACAAATCTGCTGGGCTCAAGGCTATGCTCCTGTAATCTCTGGACTTTTGGTACAATGAGGGATGGGGCAGAAATCCCAAGTCAGAAGTTGAGTTGGAGGTGGATCTCTTGCATGATTTCAGCAGGGCAAGAATCTAGTTTGTTTTTCTTCCTATAGCAGTCGATTGTTTTATGGGCCAAACCAATACGGTAGTAGATAATGTGCCTCTGAACTGTTTAAACATTACTTGGCTTTTCCTTGTACTACTGAAGGGGAAGAAACAAATCTGGCAGCTTACAAAGCTAAATACAGCCTCGTTGCTAAGGCAACTCAGCTGATAAGAATAGCATGCTAATAGACAAAAGCAGGCACAAGAGACTTACCTGCCTTTGAATTCTCTTCCCTCCTAAGTGCAGAGCAGAATCAAAAGCAATATGCAAAGTGGGGATTTACAGCTATGCTTGTCCCACCAAGCTACTTGTACAAGGTGGATAGGTCTGCCTAAGGCATGCACAGAGTGACCTACAGATTCATGGTGTTCCTTGGTTTCCAGCTCCAACAGTATCTGGAACACCAGGGAGGAGTTCAGTTGTACCCACAGCCATTCTCTGGCACCTCATCCTTCCTATCTGCATGGTCATTTGGTTAGGTTCTGTACTGGACAAATGGCAATGCCAAAGCAAAGAGTAGCACAGTATGTAATACCCAAGTTTCATTGCCACAGGTTGGCTGGATTCATGGACAAGCTTTTCTGTCCCAGAAAACTAGTAAAGAAAAGCACTGGAGAACTGGAAATCTCAGAATCTCAGAAACCTGTTCAGCAAAGAATTTCCTCTCACTAAATAAAAAGCTCAGAATTGTCCAGAGAGTTTTAAGTGACTGAATTAAAAGCAAGGTATTTTGCAACACGTCATTACATTCTCACATTTCTAAGTCAACTTCTATGTGATAAAAATGAGGGTGAAACCAAACCTATTGTAACTGGATAATCCCTTAATTGCCTCTTGCAGGGATTCCCCTATCTCCCTTTAGGCAACTAACAGGTTTCTGGTTAGATCTGCTATGTCAAGTACCCATTTTCCTTCCTTCTAGCAAGTTGAAGTGTATCTGGCTATCTTAAAAAATATAGTTTTGACACCTGAACATAGCTGTATGTTGACAGCCAGCTGTGCTATTAGTTGACAGCAGAGCACTCAGGGAAGCACTGGGGGCAGAACCTCAGCATGGCTGCAAAGACAGTTTCTGGTGGCAGTGGTTCCACTACTGGTGCTGTGCATGTCTCAGCCCTGATGCATCCAGAAAACCTGCCAACACAGGAACCCTCATCTGCCCTTGTACCTTGGGAAAGTACCTTTATGAGATATTAAAGTCCTAAAATATTTGATAACAAAACCCTCCTAGTCAGAGGTGCATGGAGAGTGGAATTTCCATTTTGCAGAAGAGCTAATTTCAAGCACCTTTCTTGATTAAAACTACAACCAAGTTTAAAAAAAGAGATATGTTTTTCTATTTCCACAGGGTGGAATCCTTTGGGACAACCTGGGTGAACCAAGAAGGACTGGTTTTTTAGCCAGCCAGATGGAGCGTCTGCTTGCAAGAGTTCAAGTCAGAGGCTGTCTACCAACAAACACTGTCATTGCTTTGAATCTGCAGCTCCAAAGGGAAAATAGTCTGTTGCACTGCTTTATTAAACTCCCTTTTTAAATGACTTTATTTTTAAATGATGTCATAGCTATAGATGACTACTGATGTCTGAGTTAGGTAGCTTAAATCTTGCCAGGAATATTTACAGGGATACAAGTCCACCTTTGGATCATCCAAGTCTAATGACTTCTAGCTCTGACAAAGTTACACTGAAGACTCATGTATATGGTGTTAAGATAGCTAACCATGGGTTTTTAAAATCAACTCAAGCCATTGATTAATAATAAATGGGACCTTAACAAGTAACATAAAGATACTTTATGCCTCTTACCTGCAAAGAATTATAAAATGGCCTCAGAGTAAATGAAAGCAAGGCCTTCAGTTTTAAACTCTTTGCTGTAAAAGTGAGTTACCAGTAAAGTTAATATCTTAAGAAATGATATTTCATGAAAAGGTAAGATTTATCTACTGGTATGTAAAGGTCATTATTTTGTCTGACAGCCAGAGCCCTTTTTTTTTTTTTTTTTTTGTCAGAAAGTCCACAGCTTTAGTGACTGACTTTCTGAAAACAGTGCACTATGGACAGCATGAAGTGAAAACATTAATTTCTTTCTCAGCATCAAATAATTGCATACTGCATTTAAAAATAGACTCTATCTTCAAGTTAACAGGTTTATGAGTCTGCAAGGTATCTTGAGTCAAGAAGGAATTTCTTCTACAACTTAAAATATCTGATTTGGGAATAGAACATGTTTTTGAGCTCAATGTTTTAGTCAGCAGCACATGAGGCTTCCCTAGTAGCTGCTCTTCATCACTGCTTCCTGTGAAAATCACTTGCATGCAAATAGTTAACTGAAAGCCAAGGCTCTCTTCTCACCCTTGTAAACTTAAATACTTAGCTCTGTGACTGAATTATTGGTAAATCTTTGCATTCCTCTACCCATCAGAATTTCTCATCCATAAAACAGAAATAATACCAATAATGCCAATAATTTCTAAAAAGCTATTTTTACCAACACATCTGTACTGATGTATATTTGCAGTGTTAAGAACCAAGTGTTGTAATTCTTATGGATTTTCTTAAGTCAAAGCAGTGAGCCATAGTTGGTCAAAAGCCTCCATGTTAACTATAGCAGCATTAGCGAAGATAAGGACACTAACATCTAAAAAGACTTATATGGACACACAGAAGAAATGCTTATACAACGAAAACATATAATGTCAAGATCCTTAAATTGAAGGCTATGAGATGGGGGAGGGAAGCAGGTAGAAAGGTATGTGTTTTCTTGCTACTGGACCTAGCTATGCTGCCATTGAATTCAGAAGCACAAAGTTGACTTCAGGTATGAAATACAGTTTTCTTACATTTTTGGCATTGATTCAAATTTGGCTGCTTTTAAATAGGCTGTGAACCCCTTACAGGGTCCAGCTACAGTTCAGAAGCCATGAGAACTCAATCAGAATAACACTAACTTGTGCTAGTGGATCCAGTGCATACAGAAACCAAAGATTCTACTTATGTAAGAAGACCCCTTGGTTTAAATTTGAAAACTGAAAAAAGAACAAAACCATATTTTTTTCTTATATTCTTTTCAGTCTAGGCTTCATTCTTGGAGAAAGTTTTCTTCTAAAAAAAAATTAACAACTCCCCTGATTATCCAACACTACTTAAGGGAAGGAAAACTCCAGAGATGCAATCAGAGCAGAGTCCTCTCTGCCACAAAATTCGCTATAAATTTTAATTTGCTGAGATTAGTAGGCAATAAAAGTCAAAAGAAGAGAGACAAATGTCAGCCAGCCAAAAATTCCAAAAGATTAATTTTCATAGCTCATGTCTCGATAACATGAAAGAATCACAGCCCTTTTTGTGCTTGACTGTGACTAGCCGGTGAAGTCTGTTACTTTTGAATATAGAGCGATAAGTCTCAAAACAAAATCTTCCTCAATAAAGTTGAGGCAGCACAATCATCTATAACAAGTCAAAGGCACATAAAGGACTGAAATGAACAAGGTGTTTTAAAATGTAGACATGCATAACAGCCCACAGGAGCTGAGTATCACATTAGTTTGCTGCTGATGTAAATGTATGGAATGTTTTTGGGTGTGTTGTGTATGGTGTGCATTTACATCCCTCAAGACATACTAGTTAGTGGGGCATTCAGCACATTTCTGAAGTGGTTCGATTCCCCTTCCCACTCTCCCTATCTATTTACAGTTCCCTTTCAAGTACAAAAAACATTTTCTGTAACCTCAGCTTCCTGATTCAGCTGTTGTGATGTCAGTTATTTACGATAACAAAAGTGAGACAATGACTGTGGTTTGTGTGGGACAAAGGCAACCTTGTTTCTGTAAAAAGGGACAATCCTAGCATGAGAAGACAGGAAAGCCTACAAAGCAGGACTCTGAGGTGAGATTTCATTAGTCCCACTATCTCTGTAATAGCAAGTTTGACTGCATTGTCTCAAATACTAAAGGGAATGCAATTCTTGGAAAATTATTTCTTTGCAGGACAAGGCTTTGGAGATAAGTATCTTGGGAAACAAATGGATTGCTAGTGGGTAGAGAGGCAGCAAATGTCAGGACTTATACGTTTCAGTACTAATTACGCATTCTGTGGTCACAAGCATGTCACTGCATCTTTGCTTACCCGTCATGAAAGTGTTTTAGTCATACTTAACTGCCTAAACTATAGATGCGGTGAAACTTGCAGAATGCCAATAATTGCTGAGGTCACCGTGTAGCAAAAAGAAATGAGAAGCTACTCACACATGTCATGGTAAGCTATAAATGAAAAATTTCAAATCTGGCCCAGCCTAGAGAAGGTCACTTACCTGCTATTCTTCCAATTGGCATAGCATGGTCCTCAGGAGGGGATACAGACACCATGATGTGGTTCATATAAGCTAACTCTTCTCGGTGGGACAGGTTGATTGGCTTTACCTCCCTGTGCAGCCCATCCTCAGACAACCTCGGTGGTTTGAAATCAGAATGCCTGGGGTTCAGTATCAAAGGATGCATGATAGGACTGGGCATCAGCTGGATGACCCTGGTGTTCTCCTGGCGAGGGCTGGAAGGCTTCTGAAGAACCTCAGGAGGAGGTGGGCAGTGGTTGTTTTCTATTGGGGAAACTGAGAGAGGATAGGGCTCCTGGTGGTTGTTCTCTTGATGATACCTTGCCCCTGGCACCCTGTCAGCTGGGGAGAGGTGACGGACAGTGTTGTCCATAGGGGACTTCAGTGGCCGCTGATCAGAATCTGGTGATGGACGGTGGTTGTTGGTGATGGGTGATCTAGAACGATGCAACAGTTCAATGGTTGGGGTGCTGTGGTGGACTGCTTCTGTGGATGGTCTTGAAGGCCTCTGAACAAAGCTATCTGTGGAGAAAAAATACAGATTGTCTGCATTGTGATCAAGCTGAAGGATCTAAATGTTAAACTCAAACTTGAGTGAAATCCTAATCCAATTCTGTTGTTTTCTACCTTAAAAAGAAAGGAGTAACACTACTTTTTCCTGTATTTTTTTTCTATAAAAAAATCAACAACAGAATTATATATGATGCTTTCATAGAAGGGATCTCTTAAAAATCATAGGCTTTGTATCTTTTCATTTGAAGGAAACATTTTGATCTGCACTGAATAAAGAGAAGCCCAAATCTGCAGTGCCACAAGCATATATCTATTTTTTCTTTGCCACCTGTAACAGGCATGGTGTGTAAGGACACTACTAGGAGGCTAACTAATAACCTAAGCAAATACTTCTGCTGATGGTAAAAATGGGAGAAAACTGCAAAAAAAAAATTTCTCAAAATGAGTTGCTTAACCAGTTCAAAAGCTGAGCAACAAGATGGGCTCAATGCCAGGAACGTTAGTACAATGTGACGACGCTGTCATTTGAAGTGACTTTGTGCTAAATATTCCTCTCTAACATTGCCTTTTCTCCTGCTCTGCAGACAACTGCATCAAACTGCATCTCCAGGACACTAAAAGTCCATGAAGCACCTTTGTCTACCCAACTGATAGTGAGGAAAAACAAATCAACATAGTCAATAAAACTTTCTGATTTTTTTTTTTTTTAACTCTACATCTGTTATACCTTTTAAGGCAGCTTTGGAAGTAGGACAAAACAATAGAAAATATATGGAGAACAGTCAGTTCTTTAGGCCAACTGACTATTAACAGCTACAGAGACAAATGGAGAACAGCAACTTTATTTAAGTAACTTTGGAGCCAGAAAATGACAACATTCAGTATAGCCTTATTCCAGTCACCCAATCACCTTTCTATAATAATAGTTCCCAAAAGAACAAGACAGTTACCTTCATCATGGTTCTGATGTAATAAAACCTCTGACTGAGCATGGATAGAGTTCCCAGGATGGAAGAACGGTGAGAACAGCATACGAGATTTCCTTTGCTTCAGGATATGCTGAAGGAGTTCATACAGAACATCACCTGAAAGACAAACAGTAGGACTCATTTAGCCATCTGATGCATTAATTCATACTCCTGGCTGCTATTTTCATATCCAAATAGGCCTGTTGTAAAATTCTGCATTTCACTGTTTTGCAAGGTTCTTCTCTGAAAGGAAAAAAAAAAAAAGAAAAAGAAAAGCAGCATGTCACACCTCTGGAGGAATGGGAGAATGAGAAGAAGTGGCTGTTATTACCCTGATATAGTTTTTCCAGGCTACACAAGTGCCCATTCAAGAGTTCACACCCTTTGTAAGCAATATTTCAGTGTTCCACCTTCTCTCAGTCTTCAGTCTTTTTAGAGAGACACCTCAGGACAGAGAATTCTTAAATGCACAGTATGTGATTATGCACTGAGTTGCTGAGAGCAAACAAGGTGCTATTCCTTAATTACTGAACAATTTAGGCTTTATGGGGCAAGGAGGAAGATCTTGCAAAGCCTCTCCATGCAGCACCGGTGCCCCAAGGGCAGAGGCAGTATGCTACTGTGATACTCCAATCTAGGAAACATAGGAGGAAGAAGTCTCACTTTGAGAAGCTACTTTGGGGTAAACTCAAAGACCTGCAAATAATGAAAAGATGTAACCCCTGCTGTGGTGACCACTTCTGGAGATTCTTGAGTGCTATAGCTGCCATAGGAACTGCTGTATTTCACTTCTGGTGTCCTGAGACTTCAGGAAAGCCTAAATAGGATTGCAAAGCTAGTTATTTCTAGACACTAGGATCTGTAGAGAGCTCAATGCAACAGGCAGTATTAGAAGAGGGACATGATGCATACTAAGGAACTTAATGCAGTGGACTTGGTGATCTGTATGGGTAAATACAGTCTGTTAGTTGCTATTGGATCATTATTTTACAGAAATGTCTGCAGTGAATTCTACTGCACCATGTTATCATGTTTTTGTATGACTCAATCCAAGGCTTGTTTCTTTTTGGGGTGGCAAGCAGGCTGTACCTCACTTTTTCCTCCCAGTCCATGTTACCAGAATTGTTATATCCTTCCTTAGTGGAACATGTCATTTCAGTGACCACTGCAGATCAATATTAACTGCTTATTTTGTATCTTCTTATGTATTCCATCTTGTACTGATGCCTTTCCTCCAAAATCTGCATTAAACATTTACGTACTTACATACTTTGTGTGATGTAACTTGCTAGACATTTCAAAGTAAAAAGGTACAATACAGGGCACAAAGTCTCCCAGCTTCTAATTTTGTTTCCTCTCTTCTGTATGTCTTACCTCATAATACAGAGGAAAAAGCTACCGCAGCAGCATATTATCTGAAAAGGAACTTAACAGAATTTCAACTGGGAAACCTTGGATTTTCCAGGAGAGTTTTCTCAAGTGTGTGTGGGGTTAGTAATTGCTCCTATGAGATTGAAAGCTGTGTGCCATTCAGCTGCTGTTTCTATAACATGCCAATGTTCTACTTGCAGTGAAGTTTATTGTCATAGTATGAAATAGTTAAAGCTATCCTGCTTCCCATAGTTCAGCTTCCTTTATTTTTAGAATCTCAGCTGCTTTCACTGTCTGGGTAGTGACTTCAGGGCATTTTTAAAAATGACTGCAATACCTGAAAATCTAATTAAAAACAAAGCCTCAAGAACTCAGTTACCTTTTCCATGTTTAGTACATGGAAGTTTAAAAAGTGATTTTACCTCATAATTTGCATCTTTGAATGCAACAGTGGCATAATCATAACCAGTACTGTAACACTCCAAGCAATACATTTTTCTTTTTTCACCTAACAAAATATTTACACTTCTGCATCACAAAAACACAATTGTATTAGTTACAAAAACAAAAGTCTCTTCTCACTCTCTCTCTCCTCTGCCCTCTTCCTGGGCCAGTGCTAAATTGGAGTATAGCAGGTGGCTGTGTACCCATTTTATTGGTAAAATCACTGGGAGGAGTGGATGCTATTCTACTGGCTTAACCAGGAGTGAAAAGGATAGAGCCTTTATATACCTACACTCTTTGAAAACCTTAAACTCTGTAGCAAATATTATTTCACAGTTCTTACATTTCACGTGTAGTTTATTTCTGGGAAACTTTACCTATAGTCATTTACATTTACAGAGACTGACTGAGATACCCTCTAAAATGTTTATTATCAGTGAGGAATAATACCTGGAGAGAAAGAGGAGAGAAAGAGCTGGGAAGAGGCCATCCTAACCATTTAGGTAAACAAGAGTTTAACCTTCTGCACAGCGTGGATTTGCAAGCCAGAGGCTCTTCTCTGAGAACAGTCTACCTCCAGCCAACAAACATTTTAATCCTACTCATTTCAAGTGCCCTCACAACACACAAAGGGAAGAGTAGAGAAATAACTGGTATGCAGCAAGGCACTGGTATGATAAGGGGAATAACAAACAAGTTACACAGAGTCGTCCTTTACAGTCCTTGCCCACTTTCAATACTTCTTTTGCCTTAAAGCAGAGCTAATTTTTTGCAGTGAAATCATTCAAAATGAGTACCAAAATAAAACAAAGGATGTTTCCAGGCATCAGTTTTCACTACTGTATTATACTAGTGACAGACACAGATATTTGGCACTTCCTTTTATAAAAATTATTCTTGGTTTAAAGTACATGCTTTGAAAACTTTGTATAGAAAAAGCATAAGTCATAGTATGAGAGGCAGATTCTGCAGGAGGATGGTTGGGTGCATTCAAGGGAGTCACAAAGGAGCTAGAAGCAGAATTAGTGCCATTCCTTGTTTATCAGCCTGAGCCAACTGCAACAGCTGTGCTTCTGCACTGAGTGAGCCTTGTGCTGCAAGCCTGGTAACAGCAGTTCTGTGACCACTTGGTCCAAACACTTTGATCATCTATCGTGACTGAGTAAACCTTTATATTTAACAGAAGAACCATGTATGGTCATTAAAAAAAAGCTCATAACTCTTGTATAGAACCAAGAACTCATATTTAGTTAAACATCCCTGACAAAGGAGGGCAGAGGCTTATTCTGACTATAAAGCCATAGCAGAAAGACTGCAGGGGATCTAAGTACAGGAAGACCACATAGGCATTTCTAAATCATTTGTGTGAATAAATGAAGACATAATTTGAGCAATTGGCCAACTGATTCACACCTATCTGTGTTGTACCTTGGGCCAGCCTCAAGCACATGAGAGAATATGGTAAAATAAAACCCACAAGGGCTGTAAAAAAGAGGAAAGGTCCCCCAGGGATGAATTTTGCAGTCACTCTTAGCAGCACGTCAGCCAAGCCAGCTGTGAGACAGAATGCTAATGTCAGCTTCTTAAGAGGCTCAAGCACTTGATTAACTTGCTGCTGTAGTTGGGTCTGCAGAAAGATAAGCCTTTACGGGGAAGAGCTGTAAGTCATGAAATGCTGCCAAAGAACCCTGCTTTCTGTGAGTTCAGCAAAGAGTTTTAATGACAGACATGTTGCATCTTTGGATTTGGAGTTACACCCAAATTTACCTACAACTCTTCCCTCTTTTCTTTTCTGTCTTTGCATCGTGTAAGAGTTTCTGTCCCTTCTCTGCTCCACTGCCCTGCCCACCCTAACAAACACGATTCTGTATCCTCCTTTGTCCAGCTTCAGACCCTCTTGCAGTTTCTTCTCTCCTTTCAACTGTAGCTTCCGTAAGAATTCCTCACCTGAATGAGGAGATCTGTATCGAAAGTCCTCTTTGGTCAGGAGCAACAGAGCCTTGCCATTCATCTCAAAAGTGTTGCTCTCGATTGGCCTCAGGGAAAACTCCTTCTCCGCCCACCTGAGCCACTGTGCGACATCGTCCCTGCTCCAGTAAACGGGCTGCAGACCTGCACCAGGAAGAGACCAAGACTGCATTATAAAATTATACAGGGCATGTGAATATAGGCAAATACCACAGAATCTCCGTTTCTCCCCTCACAGTAACATGCAAAGTCTCCAGGCAAGGTGTGGGAGAGAGATGTCAGGATTACGCTAAATACTGGGCTGTGCAACACCTCATTAGTTCAGGTATCTCGGTTTATTTTGGACATCCCGAAAAAAAAGATGCCTCAACATCCCTTCTAGGATATTATTTCATTCCAGGTTTTCACTGCGGGATGGAGTTGTCCCCCAGCTGCTCCTTCTGAGGTGCAGAGCAGGCAGGAAACGAAGCTGTTGGCCCCCTCCATGCTCACTGTGCAACCTCTCACAGAAGCAAGGAGTGCCCTCCCTTCATGCCCCCTCCAGCCACCTTTACCGGGCCTGGGCAGGAAGGCCTGGGAGGTGTGACAATTCAGTATCTGTTTTACAGATGAGTTTAAAACAGCTTCCTTCCCCTGGAAAGAAGGCAGCATGATGAAGAGTTGTTTATACCTAGGTAGGCAGATTATCTCCAGTCTGCTGGGAGATAAAAGCTTTCTTTCCTTTTCCCCCTTGTGGGATGACTCATTGTTTGACTTGTTACAATTGTTGCGTAGAAATGAAAGCTTCACGCTGCGCAGAGGAACGTAAAATTTGCCATATCTGATCATATCAGATCTCTGGTACAGAGCCTCTGGCAGGGGCTAATACCTTATGCTTCAGAGGAAGATGAACCTCCCTTCCTCATCTTGCACCTGGCTGATTGTATGCTGCACATGGAAAGAAATTTCCTTCCTGGCATACCACTCTATGAAATCTGATTACCCTTGTCTTACCAAGTCAGAAAAGAAACCCAGGAGATCTGTACTGTTTTGTTTTGCTTTTTTTACTTCTTGTGCAGATAGGCGATCTTGTTTTCTGTTTCAGCAAGAGGTCACATGCAGCGAATTGCAATCTGCTGCCACACCAGATTCCCAGGCAGCGGCTTTGGAAAGCCCCAGACCACAGCTGCACACAGAACTGAATCTGATCCTGAGTGAGAACTGAGATCAAGCTCAAGGAACGGTTAGGGCTGACCAAAGGAAGGGGCGTCTGCATGGCAACAGTAAGTCTCCATTGGCTTCAGCTACCCCTGTAGCATTGTGCTGCACAGACACAAGAAATAGAGTTTATGAAGGACTTAAACTATCTTTCCTCCTGTTGAATTAGGGGCTGGTTACCGAGGTCAGAGCTTTCTGTAGGTCCTTCCTTTTTGCAGAGAGTGCAGTCAGGTGAAGATCTTCTCAGAGACATGCAAACTGTAAGCTAAAATGCCAGAGTGAGGTTCACCTTTTGCTGAACACAGAGTCGCTCCTGCAGAAAACACACTGTGGACCCTAGGCTATTGCTGGGCAGAGTGCACGCTGTAGCTAGGCAAAGGAGAACTAAGTGAGAGCCAGACCACAACGTATAAAAAGGTTTAAAAAAAACATCTGAAGAGAGCTTGAAATGTTCACATTTGGCTTCTGTTCCCACCTTCCTCCCCATCTGCCACACCATACAAGCAGCAAGTTGCCCAGAAGAACACTGTAATGTGGAAATTTAATTGGAGTTGTGGTGTGTGCTTCACAAGATCGGGCAAGAAACAAAACATTACTGGGAAAATCAGGCCAAGGACAGAGCTGGGTGATAACTACACGTGTTCTGCATGCACCCTTACTGATAACAACACAACAAATAAATCACTCCCTGTACAAACACTGATCATAATTTCCTATATGCTGTCTGACTCTGTATTTTTGCTTTCTGTTAAATTAATATAAAAGTATCATGTCTATTGATCAGCACTAGACCTATAACAGCCAAATAAGCTACTGAAGCAGGGCTTAGCCAGGTGCACCATGCTGGTGACTCCAAAGGGATACAATGCTTCACCATGCCCACGAGGTCTCTGCTGGGTATCAGCTTCTGGAAAGGAGAGACAGAGTCTTCAAGGAAAAGGAAAAAAAGCCAAAAAGCAGTATGACCTAGGACTAACAGCATGCAGCCTTTCTTGTTCAGTTTGGCTAGTACTAAAACGAGTGGGTGGAAGAGCCAGATCTCTCCACCCATGGGGTAATATCTTAATTCAATGCTTGCATTGTGTTTTGAAGATATAAAATGCTATAAAAAACATGAACCGCTTTTGCCTAGGTGGACTGCCTCATCTCTCATTTCCCTCTCTCCCTGCCCTGTCATCTTCCCAGGAAGCTCATTTCCCCAAAAGCCCTCTGTAGTTGCCTATTCCCCCACCTGCTTTGTGAGGCTGAATCAGTTCTGTCACAGCTTTCCTAGGGGTGCAGAACAGTGCTGCTGAAAGTGCTTCAGAAACTGCTGCTCAAAAATAATTCTTTCATGTGCAGCACCGTGTTTGCTAAGCTTATATGCCACCTTCTTTGCCCTTTCTTAAAAGGAAGCTGTTGGGTTTATGAAAACAAGGGAATGAGAGGGTTGGCTCTGCAGCTGAGCGGATTTTATAGCACAGCATACATAGCTGTCAGTAGGTCCTCAAAATTCTCTTCTGTACTCTCAGTGAAAGAAAAGACTAATCCTGCTTATATAAATTTTCTTTTATTGGATACTGTTTTTTTTTTATTTTCCCCTCTTCATCTTTTATTGTCATATCCACTGTGGAGGAAAATGGGCTCTTTTTATCTCTCCTGTTTTCTTCTCTGTGAAAGCTAACAGTATTGTCTTGAACTAACAAAGATATTTACCAATCAGAATAAAGTGAGGAAAATGAGTGCTGTGTAACAAAACGAGGACAGTGCCGCGCTGCCTGAGCAGCAGGAAGGTTTTGCTGTTTGCAGTAGATGCTGATGGAGCCACAGATCTTGGACGGTGAATTTTGACTTGGGAGTCTGACCTGACACTGTTCCCATTTCCATCATCGCTCTGCTGGCTGGAATCTGGAGAGAACTGCCACCCTCAATCTCTCTCTCTGCATAAAAACAGGCAACAACAAAAACTTCTAAACTTCCCTAGGCAAGCTAAATTTATGCTCACCTTTCTAATGCTGCAGGCTGCAGCACTGGTGTCTTAGCAGATTATAAGCTTCTGTTGCTTAATTCTCACCTGAAGTCCTGCTTCTAGTACCTGTTGCACCAGCCAGCTTATAAATGGGGAGAGTGATCAACTTCTACACTCCAGGGTACAGGCTGGACCACAGAAGAAATCCATCCTCTGTTCCTTTATCTTCTTACACAGCAAAAACAAGCACAAAAAAGAGGGTTTGGGGGAGCAATTTACATTTTCTACTTCAAGTAGGTAGTAAATTTTTTTACATGTGTTTAAGCACTCATGCATGCATGCACACAGCAGAATGCATTGGTATGTCGAAAAGGAGTTCAAGATGATTGCCTCCAAAGACTTCACTCCTGTTTTAACAGAGAGTCCTTCAGGTAAGACGGAGGCAAACTCGAACCTTGTGATGCACCCTTGTTTAACATCTCTCTTTCCTTTCAAACAGAGGGTATGTATTTTACAGTATGTGTTGCTATGTCCAATAGATACAGCAGATACGTGTAAGATGTGAAGCATACATAACATACTGTGGGCTGTTTTCACCTTGACTCACTTTGGAACAATCTGACGACACGAATCCAATGCACAGGGCGATGTACAGTAAGTGAGAGCTGCTGTCATGTTTTAGTTTCGATATGAGGACGCAGCCGTACTGTAGCCCGCACAACGGAAACAGTGATCGCAGTGAGTTTTGTGTAAATTTTGATCCAGCTCAGCCCTTCCTGCATACGCCTGGTTAGCTGTCGGGCAGGATAAGGTGAGAAGGGTTTCAGACATCCCCCACCCCCTCCACCCTCTTATCCCTGCTTCTTGGAGGCAGAGAAGATTGTTCTTGCTCCCATGCCAAAAGCTACTCAGCTCAGATGGGCAAACAACAGAGGCCAGAACATGCATATCAGCAGCTGGCTCTAAACACCCAGGAACAGATGTAGCATCACTGGCAGCAGCAGGCAGGCTGACTCCAACTGCAGGACAGTGCCTGAGTCTTTAGTGGAAAAATGATGCTGGGAAAGCTCAGAGGATTTGCATGTCTGATACCAACTAATTCATTTGGAACTGAAACTCTCTTTTTTGTTATTAATTAAATAAATTCTTCCATGTTATCCATAAAGCGTAGCACATGCTGCTACACGCATGAGGTTCTGTTTTTCTCTCCATTTCTGTGTAAAGGCGACATGGTCTGGAGGAAAGACATACAATTAGATTCAGATATTTCTCCCAGGCTCTGCCCAAGAGACTTTTAGAGGTCCCCTCCTCCAGTCTGGCTGCTCCCTGAGATGGGCTGCAGCAGGGAGCTCAGCAGCCAAGAGCCGATCATGCTGCAGGAAGTTTCAAGTTCAAGCACAATTTAGGCACCAAAGTCCTCCTGGGAGTGCAATTTCATGCTGTCCCTGCTTGATCTTCCACCACAAGACCCCTTCCCTTCAGTACCAGCGCTGCCAGGCTCCTACCACCAGGTGCTCTGCAGGCTCTTAGCCTATACTAAGGAAGGCAAAGACAGGCAGGCTAAGGACTCCTCAGGGTTGGGGAATGAGCTACAGAATAGTGCTCAGCTATTTCCATGCATGTGGACAGCCTTAATAAGTGCCCCTAAGCCAGGACACATGTGGATGACACAGTGCAACGGCAGAAACCATTTGGTGCTGCTGGCCCACAGAGATTGCTACCCTACAGTAGGAAGCTGCCTCTATTTTGGAGGTCAAGAGATAAGGAAAGGTAGAAAAGCATGGAAAGGTTAATCCTGGCTAATCTTTGAAGGGAATTACTGGGGAAGTGAGTACAAACCAGCACAAGGGAAATGGACAGCAGCAGACAAAAATGCACCTTTATAGGCCTTGTTAAGGAAAAAAGTGATCAGATAGGGAAAAGAGAAGTCGTGCGATGGGCAGGAAGACACACCTCAGTGGGTCCTGTACGTCTTTTTAAAAGATAAAGAACTGCCTGC